CACAGATTTGGGCTCTTTTACTGTTTTATTTTTCATTTACTGTTTCAATTTTATCCTTTCATTTTTCGGTTTTAGTAAACAAACCATACGTTAAGCAAACGCCTGACTGTTTCAGTGTGGATGCAATTTGGTTTGAATTGTGATTCTTTAGTTTTTAAAAAATTCCAACATAATAAAAAACAGTAAAAGAGCCCAGATTTGAACCAGCACAAAGTGATTTTTTAGAGCAATCTATGAAAGTTGTTGTTTTTTTGTTCAGATCTGCGATGGAAAGACGACCAGATGATGACGTTCTATCTAAAACTTGTCTACGATAAAACTCAAGACGTAACCGTATATCTCAAATGTGACAACAACCCCACCAGGTATTGTTTGTTGTCGATTTTTTTGTTTGTTTTCAACTGATTATATATTATTTTTCTTCTCCTAAACATTTGAATAAGTAATAAAACTTATGTTTTTTTTGGCCCTCAAACCATTTATTTTCGGGATAAATATCAATTATCCTTGTTATTTTACTCTGCGCCAAGCATCTACATGCATTTTGGTTGGTCATTCATTGTGTTGGCAGCCTACCTTTGGTTGTTTCAGGTCGTTGGCTGTGTCACCTCGTATGAAAAATTCCGAGTTGCACAAGCTACTCCAAGAGGAGTACAACTTACCCTCATTGGTAATTGAAGCAAAGTGTGAGTTTTTTGAGCGACCAGCCGACAAGACTATTGAGAACAATAGTGAAGTTGAGCTGAGTCGAAGCAAAATTTTCCAGCCGACAGTTGTCTTATTCGTACATGAACAAGATATAGCAGCTGGATCTTCAAAGCAACCATCCGAAAAAAAGCCTGAAGCAGGCGAAGAAAAAATTTTGAAGTCTAAACCTTGCTGTATTGTTCTTTGATGTAGAAAATACTATCAAAAAAGTGATCGATTTAAATATCAATGCCTTATTTGCTACGCATGTTTTATACGCCAGAGAGTCTCAATGGTAAAAAATGGTCAGACATGAATTCTCAGTCCATATATTGAACAGCAAAAGCAATAATGAGGCCTCAATAACAAAGTAAGGACAAGACTGCTCGTATCAAGCCAAGGCCATGATTGTTCCCAGTGCCTTTTAAAGTCTATGGAGAAGAAACAAGGTGACAACATTAAATGTAATAAAAATAAAATGAAAATTAAAAAAAAAATTTTTTTTGTTGGAAACCATCCCTCTTGACGCCATATAAAGTACAAAGTGATAAATTTTGCTTCTAGTAACAAATCAATCATGGCAAATAAGCTTCCTTCAAACAATTTGGAACGATTTCTAAGACTCATCAAATCTCCGCGAAATATATCGCCCGGGCTGACCTCCATAGACCAAAAGTACCAAAGTATTTTTGAAATTGCCCCCAAAATTTTTTTGTGTTTTTTTTCAACCGCAAAATGATTTTCGTACTCAAACAAACATTTTTTTGAAAAAAAAATTTTGCATGCAAAATTTAATTTTTTGTGTGTATAACGTAGTCCTGGATATACTAATATTGAATTTTTTTTCCACTTCTCTTGATAAATTTTTTCAAAAATGCTCAAGACTCCTCTTTTTTTTGTATGGCATGTTTTTGTATGCCTTGATCAATGTCTGGTAATTTGAAAATTGAAATTTTAGAAATAATCATCTTTGAAAATTTTTGCCAAAATTTAGAAGTTTGATACTTTCATTATACTTTTGCGTGAGACAGAATTAAGATATTGCAGGCTGTTTCCAAAGCATTTTTAATGCGTGACGGCCAAACCTTTGGTTACTACATTTGAGTAACCAAGGGTTATGTCATTTGTGTTCGGTTACGAGCACAACCAATAAATTTTGAGAAATTAAAATGGAAAAAATCAATCTTTTTGGTTCATGGAAAAATGCTAGTCATACAATTTCCATATATGAAAAAAATACTAATCATAGACCTTTCATGCAATTTTCTGTACGTATGGAATTGCATGGAAAGTGTATGACTAGCATTTTTCCATATATGGAAATTGTATGACTAGCATTTTTGGTCAACCCGGGCGAGCGTTAATTGTCCCTAATTGGGCAAAATGTCACTTTTAAACTCCCATAATTTTTCGAAAAATAATCACAGTTAAAACATCTTTTCAAATTTTAGCTCAAGACTACAATACTTTTGAATGAGAAAAAATTCGTCAAAAATGGCTTGTTAAAAAGTCGATATTCGTCTGAAGAAAAAAAACCACCTCGAGCACAAATATTCCGTTACTTTCGTTCCGAAAGTCGGAACAATAAAGAGATGGGACAATTAATGAAAAAAAAAATTAAGGCGTGGAAAATCCTGACATCTGCAGTTCCGTATGCAATTTTTTCAAAATCAACGTGTTAAATGAGAAAATATTGTTGGAAAATTATCTGAAAAGTTTGATTGCATCTTGATTTCGACACACCTAAACATCGCTTGCTTCTTACACATTTCGCCCCATATGGATTAAGGGTTTGTGCGTGTGAGATATTATCTGCGAAGCGAAATGTATGTAGATCATAAAAATTATCTGGAGAGGGTAGAATTTTCAGTTAAACCAATCTTGAAAGTAAACTGTCATGTCTACAACCTTAATTACTACTTTTTTTACACAAAACACGCGCTCAAATTGAACAACTTCTCAGTGTTTTGTTTATCAAAAAAACTCGAGTTACAAAAATTTTTTTTTCATCTGCAAGGATTTATTGTCTGCCTTGTCAATTTAAAAAAAAGTAATGTTTATAATCAAGTTTTGTCGATTTGGTTTCAAAACAGCAAAATTGGTCAATTTGAGATATCTATTAATGTGCGCAAGCTCCGTTGTCAGTTTCCTTTTAGACACGTAATTAGGGGGCAAAATGGCTCAAGTATTGTTCCAAGTTAAATTCTGGGAAATTAAAATGCCTAATTTTACCTTTCAAGGAAGTTAAATGTATTTTGCTTTGCATATTGAGAAACTTTCCAAAGTGCCGAAATTTTAATTTCTGATTGAAATTAATTAAGAAAGCAAGCCAGTTGAATTTAAACACTTTTTCCAAAAAATTAGGCCAGGTTGTTCAAAATTTAGCACTGATATCAATAACCTTGTTAGGTGGAAGACCTGACAAAAATTTACATATAAAATATTTTGATTTGCTTGTAATGTTCTACTGTTGGCAGAATTGTAAGCAGGATATGTAAGACTCTTAGCAGAACCGCTTAGTTAATATCATCAAAATGTTTGAATATATTGCATTCGCGTGGAATAATTTTTTAAACAGATAGCACTGATTATAAATACCACTTATTTGTCATGCAGTAGGCTGCTCACTGCTTTTTAAACATAAGGGTACAAAAAAACTTCAAAACATGAGAAAATTACTCAAATAGATATGTTTTTCCAGACAATTTTTAGCAACCAAAAATTTTTCTGCTCTTACGACGCCTGAACTAAGTCGAGGACGCCAACAAATTGTGCACAAACGACTGTCGATCTAAGCAAAAAAGTATATCTGGTGAATTCGTTTTGAATGCTGTTTTGAATAAAGTTAAATTTTTATATCTTCTGACCATTACAAAAATAACAGACAGAATTGCTTAAAATTTTTGTCGAGATGAAAATAGGGGCACATTTATTTCGAGAAAAAATGCAGGTCGAGAAAAATTGCAGAAATCGTTGCAAGTAACGGCAAAAGCTTAACAACGGCCTTTGGATCACAACTCGCATAGGATTTTTGTGGATTTAAATCAGTTACATTTGAAAATTGCTGTCCATCGTTTATCATCGAAAAATGTTGTCCAAATTGTTGTTCCCGGGTTGACCAATGTGCAACCATACGTCGCACCTTGCATGGTTCCATGGAAGCCATTAAAAATTGCCGACGTATTTTTATGTTAAAATAATAAGTTTTCCATGCATGGCGCGACGTATAGTTGCACATTTTTTTTATTATGGGGGAGTTCAAAATAGACAATATTGATAATTTTAACAGGGCTATTGATAATTTCTGTCCATTTTTGTCAATTAACTTCTATTTTTACGATTTTCTATAGAAAAAAGTATGGTGAAAAATCTCTTCCATACGTAATACCATATATGTTGCGACGAATGATTTGCATGGTGAAAGTTTTTGATAGTTTACCAACAGCTTGCATAATGATGAGAAACCGTTTTATTACTAATTTACTCCGTTGAAAAGCTATTTTGAGGGTTATCGAAACCAACGTATGTGCTACGTATGATTAGTCATATTCCATACAAATCATGCATGGATGTGCATAGTTGCGCATTATCTTCTATGGTTGTTATGATCCGTTTTTGCTGCAAATTTAGACAAAGAAGTTCACTATACTGCAATTATCATAGATTAAATTATATAACATTAAGTAAATGTAAAGTAAATATAATTGTAAATATAAGAGGTTTCCGTGAAACACTATCCATTAAAATCAATCATAATCGATTTTTCATCCATTTAAAATGCAATATATATTTTTTCCTCTCCAGCTTACATCACTGTCAAATTTTAAAGATACTCACTGCTGTTGTTGAAAATTTCAGACTTATTTTTGAAAAAAAATGATCAAAATCCCTTATTTTTTTTGAATTTTGCAGAAACTATTATTTAAATTCAAATATACTGAATCACTATCAGAAGACTCTTTTTTGTGCATTTATAGTCATGCAAGCTTTACTTATAAGTTACTTTGTTTATTTGGAATGTTTGAAGCAAGCATCTTCTATGATGGTGGTCTTCTCTTCATTCTGAGACAAAATTAGATCAAATCAAAAAACAAGCTGCAAATTTTTGCAAATTCAGTTTTTTTTGCGCAATAAAATTGGTCGCAAAATTTCTTATAATTTTAGTGACAAATTTAGAAAATATGTACTTATTTTTTGTTTGTGGTCTAGATTGACTTCAAACTCCTCAACCGGTTTAAAAAGAGGAAAGACATTTCATTGCATGGTCGATTATGGACAGAAATTGAGCAAGAATAACCTAACTTGTATTTTCAGTGATCAAAATATCAGTTATAATAGATTTTTTTTTGTCTAATTTATTGTCAATGTAATTCTTTTTTGAAACCAAATTTTAATAATTTGTCATTATAATCATTTATATCCACTTCGACAAATCCATCAAACTGATTGTGATCCATTTTTTGGACTCCTTATAATCGGTTTGCTTTTTTGTTTACAAAACCCATGTAAAATATTACTGTTTACTCTCCCGTTCCATATTCTTATAGGAATTCACCCCTCACCAACCAAACAGCCCCCAAAAAAAATCATAGATCCGCCCCTGCATCCAAAAAAAACTGAAAATTTTCAAATAAACAGGTTAAAAAGGAGCACTTTTGAGCACTTTTAAAAAATATTTGGCCCAAAATTGCGTTTTTTTGGCGCGTGGTCCTCTCTCAGGTTTTGTTATATTGGCACCGAAGGTGCCTCTGGAAAATGTATGATGTTGGCCAGCCAAAAATGGCAAGCATAAAATTATACTAAAGGGGATGCATCAATTAAAAAATTTTCTTTTGAATATTGTTACCAAAAATTGCCGTACTTCCCGGCAAATTTAGTTGCTCAAAATTTTTTAAACCAATAAATCGAATAAAAATTTTGTTAAAAATTTTCCAGTAATGTTTCAGAATAAAAACAAAAGAAAACATTACTGTAACAGCAATCCTGATTTTAATACTGATTTTACTCTGATACAGGACTGAATTTTGTTTTACAACTGTTGTTTTACTTGAACAGTATTGACAACCTCGGTGACTTGAACCAGGGAACTTTTTGGGAAAACTTGGCGACCCGAATTGAGGGGAGGCGGTCGCCCCCGTTCTGGCACGCTATTGTCTGCATCGATAGAATTAGCTCTCTCCTTGGTTGCATTTTCATGGTTTTTTTAACAAACTACTCGTCTTCCTTTTCACCTCAATTTTTTTGGCATCAACTTTTAGATTTCAAAAGTTATTCTACACTTTTATTAAGGACACCCATGTTTAACAAAAGTTTTTGTTGTAAAGATAAAAAAGAAATGAAATCATAGCACAGAGAAAGCATCAATAAATAGAGGATCAGCCAATTTAATTATCTAAAATCTGGTGTGTTCTTTGAAGCAGCAAAGGAAACATGTCAATCAGTGTTGATACTTGAGTTGGGGGTTGTAGTTTTTCATTTCAGCAGAAGAAATAATACTTTTCTTTTTACCTACCAACCAAGTCTTTGAACAATGTTTGCCCACCAAATCCCTCTACAACTTTAGCCCAGCCTTCAGCTGGTAACAAGAATTTTGCAGCCCCAAATGCTGAACACAATTTGGGTATTATCACGTTTGAATAGTTGTAAAGAATACCCTCTTCAATTTTGGACACGACGTAATCTTGTTTCAATATTGGCACTAGGAAATCTAGTTTGTTTTTATTCGTTCCTTCAAACATTCCGGTGTCTACGACGTAAGGGCATACCAGGGTTCCAATGATGGTATCCTTGAACCCTTGACATCTAAGTTCAAGGACAAGAGTCTCGTGAAACCCGGCTGCCGCGAACTTACTCGCGGCGTAGTCGGTTATTCTGGGCGATCCAGAGAACCCAGCAACGCTCGCAATCGTAACAATGTGGCCTCTATTTTGTTCCATCATTTTGGGCAAAAAAGCCTTGACAGTCCAGAAGTGTGATATAATGTTCACTTCGAATGTTTTCACAATTCCAATGTCATCTTTCTCGCAAAGAAAGTTGTTTTTGGTCACGATTCCGGCATTGTTGATCAGAATATCAACCGCTTTGCCGATTTTTTCAGCCTCGGTGTAGACCTGACGACGGTCTGTTATGTCGACTTTCGCATAACTGAACTGATTAATTTCTGTACAATTTCTGTTGTCTTCAAAGAGAGAAGCAACCCTTTTTTGAGTCTCTTTAAGACCGTTTTCGTCGATGTCCCATCCGATAACAATTGCTCCTCTTTTGGCGAGTTTCAGGGAAATAAGTCGACCGAGTCCGCTTCCAGCTCCAGTTACCAAAACGACTTGCCCCTCCACCGATTTCGGTTTTCCGCGGTAAAATAGTCGACAGAAAGACGTGGCATATTCGAGCAGAACTTGAAATAATAGGAATATTACTTCAATAACCAAGTGCATAATTATAAAGTTGCAAGTGTTTTTCTAAAACAACAGGTTTTAAGTTTTGCAGTAAGTTTATGATTACTAAATCAAGATATCAATGAAAAATAAAGACCATATTTAGATCTCGATATTAAAAATAAACTAAAACTAAAATTGAAACCAGTTGTAGCTGAAAAATTAAATTGGAACATCTGCATATTTTCTGTTCTTTCTAAATAAATCAAGGCTTAAGAAGTGTCCACATAAACTAACCCTCCCTCCCTTTATCAAACACAATTTACCCTCAGAAGACGATGAACATCTGTCCTAGATAGGTGTAAATGAGCGATTTTTGGATTTGAACTTATTGGCAATGTTTTCGAATCATGAAACAAGAAAGAAAAGGTTACCCCTCATCAAAAATAAATTCGTTTAGGAGAAGTTTTTTTTTATCTTATATGATTAAAATATCAAATTGGCAAGCAAATTTGCGAATTCAATTTTCAATAATTTTGTGTTTATCTTTGCTGGAGCCACCAGCGGATTTAGGTAGGGGCGGGGCTAGTATATACTAATTTTGAGGGGAAGTGCACGCCGAAAAAACACATTTTTTTAAACCAAAATTTTAAAAAAGTGCTCAAAAACGCCTTTATTGTATGTTTTTTTTTTTCAAAAAAAGCCTGCGGCGAAGAAAATTTGGTAAAACTGAAGTCTTTATAGTGATTTTAAGCTCGGAAAATCAGTTTGGTCGAATTAAAAAAGGTCGAGAAAATTTCGAAAATGTTTTGAAGCTCCCCCCTTGAGAAAATCCTAGATCCGCCTCTGACTGGAAAAAAACCATTAAATTGGAAAAAAGCAAAATCATTTTTTCAGAAACGTATTTATTTAATGAAAACTATTGTTTTTATTTAGATTTACCTGTTTTTAAATTTGGTTTTTTTTCTATTCACACAAAGTCCTTTTCATCAAATAAGTGAGAACAATCAAAGAAACGCTACATTGGTGCAGCTGAAGAGCCTCAAAGCTATCAACGATTAGTTGACTGTTTTAACAAAAAAAAACATGAAGCTTTTGTTTTCTTCTCGGTTTCTTGTTTCGTTTCGTTGTTTGTGTTTTGTTTCTTTTTTCTTTCTATAATACAGACTAATGGATTTCACTTTACACTGGTAAATTTTCAGCCAAGTGTTCATTTTTCTCATTCAATAAAACTGCAAAAACTGCCAAAGCTAGCCATTATTTATCATATCAATCGCATATAAAGTGTTTTTTAGGCTTCTCAATTGTTTCAGATGCCGACGCCAGGCACTGTTTTTACAAGAAAAAAAAAACAAAAAATTGAGTTCGCTTGGTTTCCAATTCATAGTCACAAGCAGGGGCGGGTTTAGGGGGGGACGCCCCCCTCTTTAGAGATTCGACCCCCTCAGCAACAAAAGGCCCCCCCCCTTTGGCATTATTTTTCTGACATCAATTTTTGACTGATCAACCCTAAAATTTTTCACAAGGCGCCTTTGGTGCCAATCTATACTAATTTTGGAGAGAGCGCGTCAAAAAATGCTTTTTTAAATTAAAGTTTTCCAAAAAATGCCCTCAACAACGGCATTTTGACCTGTTTTTTTTTTCAAAAAAGTTTACTTTTTTTTTGTCAAAACAGGGTCTTTATAGTGTTCCCCTCGGAAAATCAATTTGGTCGACTTAAAAAAAACCGACAAAATTTTTTCTATATTTTTTTTGAAAATCAACCCTTTCTCGAGAAAATCCTAGATCCTCCCAAGTTCACATGCCATAATTGTTTTAGAGGTTTTCAGATAGAAATGTTGAGAAAACATGAGTGTTCACAAATACGTCTACATAACATTCTGATCTTTTTTGTTTTTCTGAAATCAAATGCCTAAACCACTCTAGGGAAGAGAATGATAACTTGGTCCCCCTAGATTATATGATTTGTAAACTACACTTAAGTAGCAACACTCGCCTCAACGAAGCGTTCAGTTGCTTAGTGAAGCAGAATAACCCGGGTTGACCAAAATGTGCAACCAAACGTCGCACCATGCATGGTTCCATGCGAGCCATGAAAAATTGTCGACGTATTTTTATGTTAAAATAACACATTTTCCATGCATGACGCGACGTATGATTCCACATTTTTTAAAGTATGGGGGACTTCAAATTAGACAATATTGATACTTTTACTAGGGCTGTTGATAAATTATATGTCACCATGGAAGCTTGCAATGTATGGTTACTATGGTATCATGCATGGCGAGACGTATGGTTACTATGGTACCATGCATGGCGCGACGTATGGATACCATGGAAACATATATGGCGCTACGTTAACGATGATGCTTTCTTTGATCTTTTTCCACCCACCTGTGATATTTTCGAAGTGGTTTTTTCTTCACACTGTCCCGTTACAAAATTGGCAGACCGTAAAATCAGACCAAGAAAAACATACTTTTTAATGCTTAACCTTGTAAAATTCCTCTTTAGACCTTAAAATGATGCTTTTGTGAAGTGAGGTGAGAACGGGGTCCTTTGAGCAACAGTTTTCTTGATTGAAAAAAGGTAATTAAATTAGGCACTTAATTAATATGACAAAATGTTTTTCTAGGCCTTGCTCGAGTCAACCGATTTTCCACTAAATCCCCGGGCCAGTCTCGTGTTTAGAATTATCAGTTAAAAACGGAAATTTTTTCTTTGGACACCGAAAAACAAAGTATAAAACGAGTGTTTTTTGTCGCGAGAATATACTTTTCATTTTTAATTCTAAGATAGCATCAAGTTATCAACACTTGAATTGTATTTAGAATTATGAATTTTTATTTGAACTTTTTTTAGCAAACGAAATAATAGTCTATTCCTGCAAAATGGGTTTTTTATGCAACAATTATAGTCGGTAAATAACCAAGACAAGGATATTTTACCGGCTTTGACAATCAGTAATACGGCATAAATACGGAAAAAAAAATTTTCAAGAGCGCAAAACTTCACGACGCTCAAAAGGTTGCTTTGCGAACCGCTGGATGAACTTTTGAGGCTAAAACGATGCATCAGAGGCAACCGAATTTTGGCATTTTTTGATGCTTGCATCAACGGCTGGTAAAAGAGCATACATTAATTTGAGTATCGAATTAGGATTTTTGCTCTATAAAGATCAAATAACAATCCTCCGCTCCGCTCCGTTAGAATAGCTCAACTTGCTAAAATCATGATTACCTTATTCATGAGTATACCTGATACAGTTGTTATTTAAATTACACGAACAAAACAAGAAAACAAGAAATTTTACACGCGTTTTCATCAAAGTGAATAAGGACTTGAACAAACACGAAGAGAATAAAATTTTCTTATAATTTTACTAGGATTTTTATGATGCGCTTTATTTTGTGGACATTGCAACCGAAAACTCATCCCAAAACGGATCACTTCGGTTTATTAGGTAATCAAGAATTAGGCTGTGGCTGCGACTAACCACTTTACCTGATGCGAACATTATATACAAAGAAACCTTATACAGAGCCCAAAATTCTATGAAGGTGATAGCCAAAAAAGTTATTTCGACTTTTGAGAAAACAAATTAATTGCTCAAAAACGTTTTGCGCAGAGTTTTAGAGATTTCACCCCCTAAAAATATTGAGCTGTAAACATTACGAGGCCAAACTGTGCACTGAATAGGCGCACAATTTTCTGTCTGTATGTTCCTGGATTCCATAAACAAGTCTTTAAACATGTTAAAATTTTGTCGGAGCAATCAAATAAAATGAAAAAACAAAAAAAAACAAAGGGAGCGTCCTTGTTTTGGAATCCGCTTACAATGCAAAAAATGCAGTTTGGCCTCGTAATGAAAAAAAATGGAGAACAGCGCGTTTGAAGTTTAACATTTTGACCGGATAACTTAGATCAGCCTTTTACTATTTCGTTTCAACTTTTCACGTTACCAGCAGTTGAAGTCATCGCCATCATTGTATGCTCTACACTAGCTACAGATTTAATGTTTTCATAGTTTTCAACTACCAGCGCAATTTGCAACAATATTATTTTAGGGATTGCACTGAATTTCCAACTGATTTTGACCTGCACTTTGAAAGCATGTTTATCGCCAATTAGGACTAGCAGTTGGCCTTAAAAAGTTGAAATTAAAGCAATAAATTTCCAGCCAAACTGAAACCGATCAAACTTCACTCAAATAAAAATTATCCGCACTTGAAAGATATGATCAAAATCATAATATTTATAAAAGATCAACATAAGATTACTGTAGAGTCTCCTTATCTGCGGAAAAAAATTGTTATTGGTTTATGACAAACAAAACGGTTGATAATGAGACAAGGCAAAGCTGAAGTGTTCCTGCTTCAGAAAGAACCTGTCTAAATCTTCTTTGATTCAACCCACTCACTCAATCAAGTTCATCGCATTTTTCCAAATTAGGTTTCTTAAATAAGTCTGGTAAAATGCTTTAAATATTCCAGAACTGAAGCAGGGAACATTTATTTATTTGTTTTTCTAGAGGTGCATAGGAAGAATGCGATTCACTTGACTAAATTCTCATTTGTATATATTTAACTATTCTTTTTGTTTTTGTGCATTTATGAAAATTTGAATTCAAAAGAAAGCAGATCGAAAATAAAAGGAAACCCCCTTTACTAAGAAAATTTAGACAAGCTAATTTATTGAGACCTTGTTTAAGTTACCCGCATTGGCAAAAATAAGATTGCAATCGATTGTAATCGATTTTTATACAGATTTTCTACTAGTTAAAAATCGATTGTATGTAACTTAATTAGACTCTAAAATGGATAACATAGGGATTTTATACAGTTCAGAAAAAATCGATTTTATAGTCTAGAAAATGGATTTTTTTGAGGTATAAAATCTGTACAGAATCTGTATAGAATCTGTATAAAACAGATTATAATCGATTGTAATGCATTTTCTAAGGACCGAAAAATATCGATTATATTGTCTAAAAAGTTGATTATATTGTTCAAAAAACTGATTTTTTTTACTTGTAGTAGCATGCTGTTTGAAGACTCAAA